ACCCCTGCCAGGAGGCCTTGGCATTGGGAGAGTCCCGTCCCCCAGGGACTCCTGAGCCAAGAGGACCCCTTGCCACCTCCTCTTAGCCAGCATCTCCCTCTTGGAAGCAAGTGGGCAGCTCTGGGCAAATGCCAGCTCTGATTCTCGTGCCCCAGGAAGTGAATTCTGAACAAGCCTCGCCTTCCCTGCCACGTGCTGGTGGGCCAAGAGCCACTGCCGCATTGCCAGGGACGTAGTAACTGCAGGAGGGCCCTGCAGAGAGACCGTTCCGCGGCTAAGCAGAGCCAGGGAAGCATTACAGACAGGGACCTCCGGGAGGGGGGGCTGTCCATTTCCTTCTCCTCCCCCGCCCCATAGTGCAGATGTAACCCTGCACCTGGGTTCCCTCGTGGGTGAACAGTGTTTGGGCTGCCCCCCAGGGAGGGAGTGGGATTGCGCCAGGGGTGTGATTGGAGACTAGCGTCCCCGGGCCGGGCACTGGCAGGGGTTTCGGGTTTTAAACATTCATGTGATAGGCAGGGGAGGGCCTGGCTTGGGTCCCTCAGGCTGTGAGTGCCAGAGCTGGCCACAGGGGACGTACCCCAGGGATACAGACATGACTGCCTGGAGCCCCAGGGAAGCCTCTTTATGCACAGACTCTTCTGAGCACACCGCTCTGCAGCATGCCGGCCTGGGGCTGTTTCTGGTAGAGGGAGAAAGGCCACCGTGCCAGGCTCCACAGGGCGGCTGGGTTAACGTCTGGTCTTGGAGAACAGGGGAGCTGTATCTTTGCCAGCGCTCATGCTCGTTACCAGCCCTTCACAGACCATCCAGCATCCCAGGGCCCAGCCCCTGACCCTGCAACTGATTTTCCATGGGCTGGATCCCGAGGGCCTGATTCTTTACCTGAGCAAGGACTGGAAACAAAGCTGTCGGGCCCTGGGTTTATGTTTCCCAGGAGGAAATACTGACCCATTTTGTCTGCAGTCGGTGCATGGAGAGGACTCTGCAGGGGTTGGTATGGGCTGAGCGTGGGCCAGGGAGCCAGGAACTCCCTGACTCTGGCAGATGCCCTCTATAGCCCTGGGGCAGGCGTTACTTCCCCTCTCTCTGCCTCTGCTTCCCTGTCTGTTACAACGGGGTAACAGCCCTGCCTCCCTGGGGGCTCTGGGGCCCAGTCAGCATGCACTGCTGCAGAAGCGGGAGACGCAGGGCTCACGCTGTCGACACGTTTACTCCTCTTGTTAATGTCACCTGATCACACTGCCATGGACTGTGCCTTTGCCATGCCTTCTCCTGCAGGGATATACAGTGCGAGGAGAAGCAGGGGCTTTCTGGGCTGCAGTAGCTAAGGGGCTGTGTTGTCCCCAGTCGTTGCTAGCCAGATGAGGACCATCAGCCCATGCATTGGTGCAGAACTCTGCTGCCTTGGGGAACCTTTCAGTGGCTTGCTGGAAGGCCTGCTGAGGAAATGTGTATCCGTATGCATCCGAGTCCATACTTGGGCCAAGGCAGCTGAGCCAAAGTTACTGGCTTTGTTACTTTTCCCGGGGTGGGTACATGTGATGGAAAATCTCATGCTGGTGCCTGTAAAATTGAACTCACTGAGTGGGGTGGGGGGACTCCATGGGCTGCTGTGGGGAAGGTTTCAAGCGTAGCCATGGGGCCAGGGTGGGGCTGGCCTCTGCTTTCCTTGAGCAACAATGTGATGCAAAACCTGCCTCTTCCAAACTTTCTTAGGAACAAAGGACAACGTGCCACTGCCAAGTCAATACACTGCCAGTCAGCCCAGCGGGGAACCTGCCCTGCTCTGCCTTCCCTGCCAACCTCCGCAAGTGGGGGTGCTCGGTCCCAGCCCCCAGAATTTCTATGGCTTGCTGGGATGGAGCCTGTTCCTATTCCCTGCCCTGTGCACAGCAGCCCAGCACAGCTGGGGGAGTTTGCTATGGGGGCTGTTTGTTTATTAAAGACCTTACTTACCACTGGCCTGGATAGCATGGGTGCTGTGAATGGACAGATTCACTTCCACAGGGGGCTCTGGCTGGGTCCCAACCTGCTGTGGCCCATTCTAAGTGCATTGGATTGCGGGAGGTAATGTGGGCTAGAGCAGGGGCTGGGGGGACCAGAACTCCTGGGCTCTAGGTCTGGCGCTGCCACTCTCCCTGTTACTGTGGGTCTCTGTGCCTCCGTCAAAGGGGGGGTTAGGAGGCCTGCCTCACAGGGGTGGTTGGGGGCTGCGTCCGGATTGTGTGCGAAGCTCCTGGGGCCCCTCGATGAGAGGGGCTAGAGAACGGCAACATTGGCGCAGTTGCTGGAGGATAACAACAGAACCCGGAGATTGGAACTCCAGCCCGTTAGTGATGCTGGACACAGGTGGGAGGAACTGGCCCAGGAGCTCTCCCCCTGCCAGCTCAGAACAGGGGGGAACCTGTCTCTTCATTAGAGAGGCCTCTTCCCCTTGCTCCCCTCTAGCTGCCAGTCCCCGTCACGCATGCTTGGTCCCTGCCAGGGCAGTAGCAATGCATGGACCCCCCTGGGGCTGCTGCTGCACGAACTGGGGGACCCATGGTCCCTACGCTTCCCTGGGGCAGGGGCTTGGGGGAGCTCAGAGCTCCTCTAGGAGGCTCTGCAATGCTGCCCACGCAGCCCTTGGCCTAGACCCTTTGCCCTCCGCCAGCCTTCCTGGCACCCCCATCTCTAGAGCCTAGACTGGTGCGGTGCTGTATTGATGCTGCAGGAGATGCTGTCGCACCGGGAAATGAAGGGACAGAGATTTATTTGCAGTGGGGAAGTTACCTCCTAAAAACCTGTGTCCGTTTCCTGGCTCTGGACCCTCATGGCTTTCCAGCGAGGATTTTGCATTTCCTCCCTCTGTCCCCGTGCTCTGCCTTGCTGTGCATTATCATCAGTTATGTATACAGTCTGAATGCGCTATTTATCTCCAGACTGTTGGGTGGCTTCCCAATCCCTGTGGGGCTTCCACTGCTGTGGAGGGCTGGGCACAAGCCACACGGCCACCCAGGTCTCCTCATCTCTCGCCCAGTTAAAAAGGCACACAGAGGAGAGCCAACCGGAAGGCAGGTTCTCCTAGGACCGGCGCCTGCTCCAAATTTGGGACTAGAGGCTCCTCATGGGACAGAGTGTGACTCTTTTGTGGCCAAAGATCTTTGACTTTGGAAAACATCTCACTACTGACCTTGTTTCTGCCTTTAACTTCCTGCACACGTTGTCCTTGGATTGCAATTTGCCAATGAGTTTGTACAGAATACACAGTGTAAGTCTATCGCTGTATAAATATATACACATGAAGGCATTGTTATAGGTAGTGTCTCTTTCGTTTTGGTTTTGTATCTTCTGATCTAGTTGGCCGGATCTGAAGATGTTCTCATCAAAGCCTGCGTGCGGAACGTTTCTATTGTTCTTTGTACATTTCAAAACAAAATAAACCCCACCCCCCAAAAATCAGATTCTGCCCTGAACATTTTTGGCTGCTGTTTGTTGGGGGCGGGGTGCGTGTTTGCTACTGTCTCTGATGATGCTTTGACCCAGATGAGTCGGCTCAGCCTGAGCCTTCAACATTACTGTCTGGCAACAGGAATAAAAACAAAATACACACGTGTCTCCTGACAGTGTGAGGCTGGTCGCCTTCCTTGGGATGTGGGTTGCCAAGGGAAGAGGGAGGATTGGGCAGTTCATACGTCTACACTTGGGAGCTCCTTAACAGCAAGGCCCAGACAGGATGGAGAGGGACGTATGTAGGGAGTTGCTTGCACCATCTGACGTGTCAGGGTATAAATGCCATTTCACTGCAGCCTAGGCCTGGGGCTGCCCCTCTGCATGGGGGGGGGGTGAACCTCACCCTAAGCGCCAAAGTCTTGTCCCTGGAGGCATTCAGCAAAGTGCTTAAGCACGTGCTTAGCTCCATCGCTATTCAGCAAAGCACGGGCTCATATGCTTGCCCTTAAGCATGACCTTGAGTCTCATTGACGTCAATGGGAATTAGGAAGGTGCTTAAAGTAAGCATGGGCGTATGTGCTTTGCTGAGTGAGGGCCTAGACCAGGGGTAGGCAACCTATGGGACGCGTGCCGAAGGCGGCACGCGAGCTGATTTTCAGTGGCACTCACACTGCCCGGGTCCTGGCCACCGGTCCGGGGGCTCTGCATTTTAATTTAATTTTAAATGAAGCTTCTTAAACATTTTAAAAACCTTATTTACTTTACATACAACAATAGTTTAGTTATATATTATAGCCTTATAGAAAGAGACCTTCTAAAAACGTTAAAATGTAATACTGGCACGCGAAACCTTAAATCAGAGTGAATAAACGAAGACTCAGCACATCACTTCTGAAAGGTTGCTGACCCCTGGCCTAGACCCAGCAGGTACAGCGGAAGGACAGAACGAGATGGATTGCCCTCCCTGGCTAGGCCCGGGCAAGCTCTGCTAGCGGTCAGCATTAGCACTGGCTTGTCTGCCATCGACCAGGTGTGGAGACACACACTGACACTGATGCAAGGGGCATGGGCCTGTGGTCTGGGCTTCAGTGCTGACAGAAGGCTTGTAAGAATCCCACCAGCCCCCTCCTGCTCTCGCCTCCTCACCTTTGGAAAGGAACCAC